CTTCTTGACGGAGCTTAGGGACGTATGGCTTTGAAACAGCGGTTCCCGTACGATCATTGGCGTTAAGAAAATTTAAATCCTAGGTTCCTCACCACTAGGGAATACCATACTCTTTATTTTTGCATGTGCTGGGGAATCGAATAGATAATGGCTCGGAAATCCTAATCGCAGAGCCGAGTTCTAATTCCAGTTGATTATGTAATATTCCCTTACGCACAAATACCCTTGGGAAAGTTAAGAATATACCTCTTCTCCCCCAGCTATGGGTTAATTAGTAAGACATGTATCACTAAAATTATTATTATCTCCAAAAGAAAAAAAATACATAGTAGATATTTAGATTTCGGAATTAAATACCCTATAGCTGCTCATATGTATTATGTACTTTCCAGGCGTAGGTGTTCATGGCTCTCCACAAATTGCTTTTTATTATCCGTGTATAGCTATGATTTCTTAGGAAAAATAAGAATGGCTTCCTACTACCTTCTCCACAGTTTTGAATTCTGAGAATTTCACCTCCAAGACTAGTTGCCAGCCACCGCTAGATAAGCTAAGTCTACGCTGCTATTTAGCACATAACTGTGGGCGAAAAAGATGAATTACTGTATTTTGCTGCTGATAAGATGCTCCACTACATAAGACGGTATATCAAAAACAGCCAACAAAAATTTTATTGGCATCTTCAGTAACTCTCCTAAACTAAATTGTTATGATTGTTTGCTACACTTGAACCTTTTTTTACATATTACAAACAGTTTTTTCTTCAACTGTTTTATCCCCTAACAGCTCTTCATACCAGCCATTTTCATTGGGCAAATTTGGTCAGGTTTTGTTCAACTCGGAGCGTCTTTTTTTTCGCGAGAACTGGTATACGATTGAACACACGCCTTCTTCCTTGAACACTATAATCTTAAACTCTTTAACTCATGGTTCAATCGCTATCCATCCTCTTTACACTTCCTCCAACATTCATATCACATACCTCCTTCAGTAACACTCCACTACAAATGGCTCTTGAGGTATGCGAGCTTTTAAACACCCCCTCATCGATAGCGATTTTCCAAGCGTAGCTTACATGTGGCACAAGGCCACACCCCCGCATCTGTATGAGATTCCTAAATCTAGAGAACTGCCTGGCACCACGATTTCATTTCATGGTGGCCCTGGACGATGTATATATCAAGGGCTATATCATACTGCAAAACATAAACATTTACAGCCTCATAGATAGTGTGGTCGTTCAAATAAATGTGCTGGAAATGCTGAGCTAATTGAAGGTCATTAAATCTCCCTTTCTCTGGAAATGTTGAGCATGATTACAAAAATCCAAAGAAAATTATTTATTGAATAAATTTAAATTTAATTTTAAATTTAAGCTTTCACGCATTAACTTCGGAAAATTCCTTCATGAATTTTTATCTAGCAAAATTCCTAATTACAAAATGTTAGTTTCAGAACCTTTTCTCAAACGGGTATTGTCGTCTTCATTTTATATACAAAGATGTTGAAGATAAAAAAAAAATTACACTGATTGCAATGTGCCTAAAAGCAGAAACAGCACTGTTGTTGATGATGATGATGACGATGATGATGCCGATGATGATATTTGATTAAATTTTAATATTGAATTCACAATAACCATTCCATTTGTTCATACAACCTTCGGGGACATTCACGTGTGGTTAAAACTACCGTTCAGAAATTGAAGATAGTTAATATAGCGACAGTCTCCAACTAATCATAAATTACTTATTTAATTTATTCATTACTTTCATATATATATATATATATATATATATATATATATATATATATATATATATATATAAAATTTTGTATTTTTAAATTTTATCTCGATTTGAATAAATGTTTACCCCCACCTTTTGTCTGATTTCCTTCTTTTTTTTTTTGTTGGTCCCGTGGTCATGGTTTTATGTTCGGGGGCTATATATTCCGTTTTTACGTTACCTCTTTAGCCAGCACTCCCTGACGCTCCGAGTAGGTGAAACCTTGGTAGGTTCACTTGGCTCTTTAGGTTCAATTAGGTTTGTTCTACTTAGTGTATTGACCACATCATTTAGTTATTTTACTTACTCGTATCGGGTTTTTTTTTCCTTTGGACTCTGGAATTGAATGCTAGGCGATTATTTTCGGCTAACGTACATGTTCTTTGTTCTTTCCTTTCTTGTACCTTTTTTCCCCTTTGGTATTGATTTGATTATTTGCAAATCAAGACACCGAAGTTTTTTCTGAACGAGTATAATTTCTTATATTCATAAGATTATTACTAGTGTATATATATATATATATATATATATATATATATATATATATATATATATATATATATATATATATATATATAAATATTGTTGATAATTTCAATTATATTGTTGATAACGAAAATGGTGGCACTTGAAATTATATACGATCCGATTTAAATAGAACTACAGTTTTCCATGAAATACATCTGTTTGATTCTTTTGGTAAGCATCATCAATGATGTTTTGAGATGAAGATTATTAGGGATTTCGTGTCTTACAACATCATACCTTTTGTCCACGGTGATCTAATCGATACTGATCGGATATCGACTTGTGAGCCATGCGTCAGCTAAAACAATTCTCATAATAAGCCTAACACACTGCGACACATTTGGCCCTTATAGTTCATTCACGAACAACTAGTTTTCTGTTTCACTTTCTTATGATATATATATATATATATATATATATATATATATATATATATATATATATATATATATATATATATATATATATATATATAAGTTACAGTTTATATATAATGATAATAAAAGAAATAGAATCTGTATTTTTCAATCAAATATTTAAACTTAACGGCCATATGATTTGCGGAACTCTTCATTTTTTGACTCCGGAGAATATTAAACTTTCTATTCTGCACCTGTTACTCGTACTCTAAATTGCTTTCTGAAAATTCATTAATAGAAGCGAATGAATGTTAACGATCGCATTAAACAAAGTAGTGTTGATAAAAAGAAGGCAACCATTTACTTTATACATACTTAGTTATTTCTTTATGTGTTTTATCTACTTTTGTTCATTAATTAAATTAAGATATATGTTTATTTGGCTTGTAGGTAAATATATCTGAACAATTCCGTTTTGTCTATCTACAAAATCTTTCAAATCAATGTGAGAAGCAGACTTACGGTTTAGCTGTGTGAAAACTGCTGTAATATACTTTCTCTGTATCTTTTCTACAAATACTTTCATGGTAATTGTTCCGATGAAATTTTCCCGCCAAAAATCTATCTTACATATCTACTCGTCTATCATGCGTCCATTCTTAGAACATGACTGCCAGATATAGTCTGTTGCTCCGGCTATATATTTATAGATCCTTGATAAAATCCAAAGAAGAATCTGCAATTCAAACCGATTCACAAATATCATCAATCTTTTACACGGAATAACTCAATATTTAAGAGGTGTATTATATGCTATTACTAACGATATCTGATTGTTTTATAGATCATTGCTAACAGTCTATACGAGGATCGATCAAAAAATATCGGGACCGGAGCTGTTAAAAGAAAAATCAATATATATCAATTCCACATTTACTAGCGTCTCGGCTTCAGCCACATTCTCAACGGCGTAACGTAGCTTTATAGATCCTGGATAAAATCCAAAGAAGAATCTGCAATCTCATTGGTCCTGACTTGGCATATCGGTTTTTAGTCACATTCCCAACGCCGTAATGTAGCTTCCCCGGACCTTTCTAGAGATAGTTTCATGGTAATTTTTCTGATGAAATGTCCTATCTTTGTAAAAAAAAAAAATGGCGGATAGAGGAAGGCTGGTGTTTAATCTGTCTTATCTTAAACTTAGCTAACCATAATTACTGATCCAAACATACCACAATATTCGTTACACCAAAACACCACATTTTATCTAGAATAAATGAATTTTAGCGTATTACTAGAAGGGCCTGACCGTCTCATCATTTTACGATAGAAATGGCTAGATGTAACCGTAAGTTCTATGCTAACAGTTTTTTTTTTCCTTGCACTTATCGCTTGCTCTTCCGGCTTCTTGTTTCTTAGTCAAGTTTGATATTCAGAAATTTAAATACTATGTCAATAGTTATCTTATGTCTTCGTAGTTTTTGTTCTTTTATTGTTCTCACTCTTTAATAATAAAATGTCCCCTGCGTGATAGTGACTTTCTTGCCTTGCTTGATTTAAAAAAAAAAAAAGTAGGAAGAAACTATTTAATTTAGGTAAGGTAGATATGGAGCAGGAACGAAGAAGATGAAAGTCGCCAAAGAAATCCGGAGAAAAGAAAGAAAGAAAGAAAGAAAGAAAGAAAGAAAGAAAGAAAGAAAGAATAAAAAATGCAATAATTATAATAAAAGAGAAAAGAGTTAGGGACACAAGAAAGAAAGAGAGAAGGAAAGAGTAACATATCACCTACGATAGAAAGAAGAAAAGAAACAAAGAGCAAGTGAGCAAACACATCAACAAAGGCACAAATATAGTAAAAAAAAAAGAGAGAAATTATAAAACGGGGCAAAGAAATTGTAAACAAATTAATATGAAAACTAAAAGAAAGAAACTAGAAAATAAGTGAACGACTGGGTCGACAAAAGGGATGGTTTTGAAAATAAAAAAGAAAAAAAAGAATATATATTTAAAAAGGAAAGGGCGAAAGAATGAAACAAAAGAAAGAAAGAAAGAAAGAAAGAAAGAAAGAAAGAAAGAAAGAAAGAAAGAAATATTGAAAGAACTGAAAAGTCATGTATGGGATAGAAGAAAGAAAGAAAGAAAGAAAGAAAGAAAGAAAGAAAGAAAGAACTGAAAAGTCATGTATGGAATAGAAGAAGAAAGAAAGAAAGAAAGAAAAAAAGAAAGAAAGAAAACAATGAAGGAAAGAGTGAAAGGCATGTATGGTATGGGATCAAAGAAAGAATGGAAACAATAATGAAAGGAAGATTGAAAGAACTAAAAGGCGTTAATGGGATGGAAGCAAAGAAAGAAAGAAAGAAAGAAAGAAAGAAAGAAAGAAAGAAAGAAAGAGAGAAAGAAAGAAAGAAAGAAAGAAATTGAAAAGGCATGTATGCGATAGAATCAAAGAAAGAAACAAAGAAACAAACAGAATGAAAGAAAGAAAGAATGATCGAACTGAAAAGGTGTGTATGGTGATGGAATCAAAGGAAGAAAGAAAGAAAAAAAGGAAGAAAGAATTAAAGGAAGAAGGAAAGAATAAAACCATAAAAATATGAGCACAAGATAAAAAAAATATTTTCAAAAGAACAAAAGAAAAAAATGAAGGAAATATTGTACCACAAAAGAGAAAAATAAAAGAACAGTAAAAAGCAAAGAACGTGTAAAACGAAATGAAGATAGAAAGAAAGAAAAAGTCTATTATTATACGAAAGAAGGAAAGAAATTGTAAAGAAAAAAGAGAGAAATGAGAAAAGAAAAGAAAAATACGAAAAACAAATACATATGAAAATAGGTTAAAAAAAGGCATTAGTACAATTACAATAAATAGGAAGGCAGGAAGCAAAATGAAAAACAAAGGAAAATGAATGGCAGACAAAAGCAAATGAATTAAATTGAAATAAAAATAAGAACATATATCAAAACAGAGTAAAAGATTGAAAAAAGAAAAGAAAAAAGAACATTCAAAACAGTAAATGAAATAAGAGAAAAAGACGAGAGAAGAGAAACAATAAAAGAAAAAAATAAAACACAAAGAAAAAGACATAAGAGAAGCAAAATAAAGAAAGAAAGAAAGAAAGTAAGTGAGAGAGAAAGAGAGAGATAAAGAATGGCTAAAGTAATAAGAATATGAGAATAAGTAAGAAAGAAATGTTAAAGCCATATGAAAATAAACCGTCAGGAATCAAATGATAAAGAACTAAATATACAATAAAAAAATATATTACAAAAAACAACTAAAAATATGAAGGACGATAGATAGATAGATAGATAGATAGATAGATAGATAGATAGATAAGGAATAAACTGAGATAGATAGATAAGGAATAAACTGAGATAGATAGATAGATAGATAGATAGATAGATAGATAGATAGATAGATAAGGAATAAACTGAGATAGATAGATAGATAGATAGATAGATAGATAGATAGATAGATAGATAGATAGATAGATAGATAAGGAATACACTGAGATAGATAGATAGATAGTACCGAAGAAGAAAAAAAAAAGAAATAAACTAAAAGACTAAGACAGAAAAAACAAAAATACATAGTATGAAAAATAAGAAAAAAAAAGTGATAAAGAAAGAATAAAAACAATATTAAGCCTCTTACAGCGTGAATCAGTTAGGTGAGTTGAAACCAATTTTGAAAATATAATTAACCTTGCGATTTCCAGCTAATACTCTGCCTAAATGTGACTTGCAATTAATGATAAAAAATTAAAAATAGAATATCCAATTACTAAAGTTCTATCCGATCATTGGAGAAATCCGATTTATCGTTCTGGTCGTAATTTTTTTTTTTTTTTTTTTGTCGTCGTTTTCGAAAAGATTTTAATTAAAAAGTTGTTTTCAAAAGAAATCTTATTAAAAAAAATTAAAAAAAACACACACATACAAACACACACACACATACATACATACAAGAATATATTTCTTTAAGAGAGTTAGAAGCCAGATACATTCACAAACTGGAGGAGATTTGAAAACGTTATCCGAACACTTTTATGGATGGAGAGAAGGAAAAAGAAAAAAAAATTCACTCCGTGTATCCTTCATAAAAATTCCACAAAAATAACACCACCACGATAACATCAGTTAAAGATACATTAGGAAAGACATGTTAATCATATTTCGATCGTCTTCGATTTCAAACGATCGATTTTCATAGCATAACATTAAACGAAAAGAAAAGACAAGAATAAAATAAACAGAAGAGACAAGACAAAAATAAAATAAAAGAAAGAACGACATGAATCAAAGAGCAAAATAAGCCATCTACCAAATATGAATTTATTGTAGATCGATATGAGTCAATCGTCAAGAAATCCCCGAAACGCAGCAAATCAATAAGACGAAGATACATCTACACACTGTTTTGATCGATTTTCCATTAGAGTTACTGTTTCGTCGTGCCATTCTTCGACAGGCATGAATTAGATATCTGCAGAATGGAAAATAAGATTGCGAATCCCCAAATTCAGCGTGAATTCTAACCGATTCACAAATATCATCAATCTTTTACACGGAATAACTCAATATTTAAGAGGTGTATTATATGCTATTACTAACGATATCTGATTGTTTTATAGATCATTGCTAACAGTCTATACGAGGATCGATCAAAAAATATCGGAACCGGAGCTGTTAAAAGAAAAATCAAAATATATCAATTCCACATTTACTAGCGTCTCGGCTTCAGTCACATTCTCAACGGCGTAACATAGCTTTATAGATCCTGGATAAAATCCAAAGAAGAATCTGCAATTCAAACCGATTCACAAATATCATCAATCTTTTACACGGAATAACTCAATATTTAAGAGGTGTATTATATGCTATTACTAACGATATCTGATTGTTTTATAGATCATTGCTAACAGTCTATACGAGGATCGATCAAAAAATATCGGGACCAGAGCTGTTAAAAGAAAAATCAAAATATATCAATTCCACATTTACTAGCGTCTCGGCTTCAGTCACATTCCCAACGGCGTAACGTAGCTTTATAGATCCTGGAGAAAATCCAAAGAAGAATCTGCAATCTCATTGGTCCTGACTTGGCATATCGGCTTTTAGTCACATTCATTAAGACAGATTAAACACCAGCCTTCCCCTATCCGCTATTTTTTTTTTTTTTACAAAGCTACTATGTGATTTAAACTTAATTTCTTGTTTTTGCATTTTAACACGCGTCTCAGTTTATGCGATCCATTTGTTGAAGGGATTTACGCACCTACAAGCACATGATTTGGCACAAAGTCAAGTTTAAACAGCGATTTCGGTTGCCGCTCAAAAATACTTTCTCCCCTTCAGCACTTTTTTTTTGTGGGGAGGTCTCAGGCACCGGATAATGACCTCAGCCCCTTCTGAAGGAGAGTTATTGTCAAAGGGGCGCAATATTAATTTTGACGTTCATCCCAACCCAACTGGGCTAATTAAAATATGAAACTACACTGGTGCTCCTTAATAAAAATCCAAAGAAGAATTTGCTATGTCATTGGTCCTGACCTGGCATCTCGGCTTCAATCACTTTCTCACCGTTGTAACATAGCTTCCCTATGCTTTTTTTAATAAATACTTTCATGGTAATTGCCCTGATGGACTCTCCTCTTTTTTAAATGTTGTTTTTTATCCTCACCCCAAATAAATTGTACATATGGGAACTAGTTAGGACTTCATAGAGACTTTGAGGTATTACGGTGACTGTAGTAATAAAGTTAAGTAAGAACGTGTTTTTTTTTTTGCTGGAAGCAATACTGTGGTATGTTTAGTTCAGTCATTGCGGTTAGCTAAGTTTAAGATAAGACAGACTGAACACCAGCCTTCTTCTATCCGCTATTTTTTTTTTTACAAAGCTACTATGTGAATTAATCGTAATTTCTTCTTTTTGCATTTTAACACGCGTCTCAGTTTATGCGACCCATTTCTTGAAGGCAATTATTAAGGCACCCACAAGCACATGATCTGGCACAAAGTCGAGTTTAAAGTGCGATTTCGGTAGCCACTCAAAAACTACTCCTTCCCCCTCAGCACCCCCCCCCCCTTTGAAGGAGATTTACTGTCGGAGGGGCGCCATATTAATTTTGACGTTCACCCCAACCCAACTGGGCTAATTAAAATATGAAATTACACTGATGCTCCTTAATAAAAATCCAAAAAAGAATTTGCAATGTCATTGGTCCTGACCTGGCATCTCGGCTTCAGTCACATTCCCAACGGCGTAACGTAGCTTCCCTTTGCCTTTTCTATAAATACTTTCATGGCATTTGCTCTGATGAACTCTCCTCTTAGGTAGGGGGCGGGTGTATGCTCATTGGCCTTTTATTTCAGCTCGCATTTTCTTAAGTCAAATTCCCCCTCCTCTTCCTTTTTAGGTGTCAGCGATGTCAGTTCTCTGGTAGATGCGGGGAGCTTTTCGATTTACGGGTATGCATTTCGTATTTGTTTTGTGTCTGGTGAGTGTGCGTTTGAGTGAAAGTTTGTTCGAATGATTGTCCTTAATTAACATAATTACGAAAGAAAGAAAGAAAGAAAGAAAGAAAGAAAAAAGAAAGTAAGAGAGAAAGAAAGAAAAAAAGAAAGTAAGAGAGAAAGAATGAAATGAGAAGAAAAGAATAAAACCACGAAAAAAGATGTGAGCACTACATAAAAAGATTATTTTCAAAAGAACAAAAGAAAGACAAATGAAGGAAATAATATACCACAAGAGAGAAAAAGTAAGAAAATAAAAGCAAAAAGCAAAGAATGAGTAACACAATATGAAGGAAGAAAGAAAGAAAAAAGTTTATTATTATACGAAAGGAAAGAAAATTTAAAGAAAAAAAAGAGGGTGAAATGAGAAAAAGAAAATAAAAATGACGAAAATACATATGAAATTAGGTAAAAAAAAAAGCATTACTACAATTACTATAAATAGGTAGGCAGTACGCAAAATGGAAAACAAAGTAAAATCAATGGAAGACAAAGACAAATTAATTAAAGTGAAATAAAAATAAGAAAATATATCAAAACAGAGAAAAAGATTGAAAAAAGAAAAGAAAAAGAAAACATTAAAAACCGTAAATGAAATAAGAGAAAAGTAAGACGAGAGAAGAGAAACAATAAAGAAGAAAGTAAAGCACAAAGAAAAGACATAAGAGAAGCAAAAGAAAGAAAGAAAGAAATAAACAAACAAACAAACAAACAAACAAACAAATGAATAAACAAAGAAAGAAGTGCTAAAGTAATAAGAACGAGAAATGAAAAGATGAGAAGTTAAAAAGAAATGTCAAAGCTATATAAACAGAAATTCAGGAAACAAATGATAAAAAAAATAAATATACAAAGATTAAAAATAAAAAAAAATATTTAAAAAAAATTAAAAATATGAAGTCCGACGAGAGATAGATAGATAGATAAATAGATAGATAACCCTAGATAACCCTAGACCCGCATTAATTTCGTCCAGTTAACAGATTTTTCTGCCACAATTAAGGATTGGATAAAAAAGAAGACAATTGGAAAATATATTTCTTAGTCATTTCCGACGCGTTTCGTCAATCCGACTTTATCAAGGCAGGTTTAAATGCAAAATATTTTTAGTTTCATTAAATTCAAAACATATAGAGAACGCTCATGTGTAAGCTTTCCTCTGGATATTGGTAACATTTTTTTATCATTAAGGATTGTAATTTTTTTTTATTACTAACACTATTTTGTTTAGTTTCGAGTATATAAATTGTATTCATTGTAAATATACATTGGGATTTCTTTTTAAAAATGATCATTCATTCCCCACACCAGGAGACACATTGTACATGTGGGAACAATGAAGGACTCATTCATCGAGGATTTGAAGTATTATGGTGGCTCTAGTAAGAACGTTAAATAAGAATGTGGTATTTTGGTGTAAGGAATAATTTGGTATGCATCGGTCAATAAGTGTGGCTAGCTAAGTTTAATTGTAAAACAGATGACAACCCTTCCCTGCGCCTCTTTTGGCCTTGGCCACATCTTTGTATTTTTCAAAGTTAATATTTTAGTTCTCGACTATAGTATCTAGGCTTTATGAATTTAAGCACAGTACTAAATTGGCCATGACGTCTCACAGCTGAATTGGCTAGATGTTACAACTAACAATTTCAACTATAAATTGATGAGACTTTATCTATGTTTTATACTAAATCTTCTCGCTTGTGGATCCCTCTTCCGGCTTCTTGATTCCCGGTAAAATTTAATGTTCGAAAATATATCCACTGCCTTCTTAATTACTCTTTTATCTTCGATCCTTAATAATGTTTCTCTTTTGTTCTTATTTATAACAATCAGTAACCTTTTGTGTCTTTGTGTCTTAACTAATTTACTGTCTTGCATGGGGTGAGATGATTTTTTTAAATATCCACTTTTGAAGCCACAAACTTTATTTAGCGTCGTTTCTATCGATGAAAACTTTCTTGGACCTCTCTTTTATGTGAATAGCGTGCAGTTGTCGCATTTTCGTGGATATCATCGACGACTTGAAACATTTCATGTGGCATACGATTTGTGGAAAAAGGTGAATGTCGTAAGGGGAGAGACCTGGAGAATATGGTAGTTGTCGGACTTGGCTAATATTGTTCTTGGCCAAGCTGTGTTTAATGGACAGGTGCATTACCACTCACCTGACGCAGGCAATTCTGTCCTTCGTATAAGGATGGAGCAATCTGGTCGTAGCATTTATGAGCTAACGTTTGATCTGGAATTTCCAATGGCAACAGATTTCATCTACATAATTAATGGAGGTCATATTGATAAATTGAGGAAAGAGGTTATGTTGAAAGTAAATATTTCTTGTGTAACAGAAATATATATGCCAATATACAGTTGAATTTGCTAGATGCAACCTGTTCTATGCTAACAGTTTATTTTCTCGCACTTTTCACTTCATCGTCCTGGGTATGACGATAAACTACATCTGACATCAAGGTCATTGATCAGTAGGTTTTGAGAAGCGCGGAACCATTGCTTAATTGCTGGTGTTTCCAGGTCTACCCTAACCCGGGGTGGTAGCACCTGCCATGGTCCCTCCTATGGGCAAATAGTTAACCCCAAACTGGGATCAAAAGTATGAAAAGAGGTTTTAATACCAGCAATACATTTTTGAAAAAAAATATTACCAGCAATAAAAATCTTGTCGGCATTAAATAATCTATTGAGGATGATATGCCGTAAACCAAACCAAACCAAATCAAATTCGGTCCACCCTGACCAGTGATGGTAGCACCTGTTAGGATCCCATCTATGGGTAAATAGTTAACCCCAAACTGGGGTAAAAACACTATGAAAGTGTAAAAATAGGTTTTAATAGCTGAAATACATTCTAAAAAATTATTACCAACAATACATTATTACCAGTAATACATGTTTGGAAAAACATATTAAAAGCAATAAAAATCCTGTCAGCATTAAATAACCCATTGAAGTGGAAATGCCGTAAAACAAAACAAACCAAATCAAATCTTTCCACTTCAAAACTGGTTACTTAAACATTTCCATGCAGATCTCAAAAGGAATCGTGGACGGGCGCTGGAGAATCACAAACAAAGAACCGTGCCTAATAACAGAAGCCAAATCAAGGGTTATATGTGATGAAAATGTTTATTGTTTTGTTTTGCCATCCTTCGAGAAACTTAATCACATGCGTCCAGTTTTCCCAAAAGACAAAATTAAAGCAACAACAAAAAAATGCAGAGATTGAGAAAGTATAAAAGATACTGTGGTATTGTAACTATTTTCAATATTTACATTGTTCAAACTGCTGTCTCCGTTTTTATTGCCATATTCACGATGTTTTGGCCGTTTTACGATCCGGCCTTCTTCCGAATCTGTCTATATTTTTGTGATGAGATATTGTAAATATTTACACTATTTACATTTTTCAACTGTTGTCTTCATCGTTGTTGCCATATTCACGATGTTTCGGCAGTTGTTCACTCCAGCCTTCTTCCGAATCTGTCTATATTTCTGAGATGAGATATTGTAATTATTTAACTTATTTACATTATTCGGACTGTTGTCCTCATATTTGTTGCTATATTCACAACATTTCTGTCGTTGTACGTTCCGGTCTTCATCAGATATTTGGAATTTCGAACTGGACCATGTATTTCCTCATCCGGAGTAGATTCTATTCCAACGTGCCATGCAGTTATCTCCCTTTAACTTAACTCTCCTTGTTTTTGTTCAGTACTGCAGTAGCGAGGTAGTGAACTCGCAAATCTTTGTGTCAAGTCACTGGATCCAACCAACGCTTTTCCTGTTGATAACATGTGGCCCATTGGATAAAAGCGTTGGTTGGATCCAGTAACTTGATCCAAAGATTTGTGAGTTTAATACCTAGCAACCACTGCATTACAATAATCATCAAACCAACCCCTTATTTAAGAACAGTCAGCGAGTAATTTTTTTTTCCAGTTAATAAAGTAAGTATGCTAATCCTGTCTCACCAAACGCAAACTCTTCTTTATATTCTATGGGAGATAATGAGACAAAACATGAAAGCTTTTTTTTACAGACGACGCATTTCGTCTCCTTATTGTGCATGCTTTCGTGTGGCGAAATCATGTGTGTAAGTATAGTGTGTTTGAATATTTTTTTCGATATGTGTAATAAATAACTTATGAGATACTATGGTTACAATTTGCTATTTTTGTGTTGAAGCTGTTAACATCTGCTAAATTTGAAATTAGGACACTCCGAAGCGAATTCTTTATTCTCACTATTACTTTGTATAACACATTTTGCTGCCATTGTTTTGTTTTTTTTTTTTCATGATCGGTGATATTGTGCTTGAGCCGAGTCTGAGGATATGCGTGAAGAATTGTGACATCAAAACATTCTTTTCTGATCATGCATTTTCTTCTTAATATGCATTTTCTTCTAATTATACCGGCATTTATTAAATAGAAATTTAGCACAGATCTCTTAATGGGAACAACCATTGCGTTTAGAGTTTTGTTATGCAACAGATCCCTGGTACTTTTTTTTTTTTTTAGGTTTCTAGATGTTTCACCGATATATATCATTGGGTAATTTGAAAAACTGTGAAGCGACAACTGTTTGGCAAACTTAGGCCTTTAAGGCTGCAAAAACATGTGTCAAAAGGATGGCTTTTTCATTGACACTGCTATTAATTTAACTACAGTTGTTCTTCATAGATGTTCAAAAAGCGATTATTAGATATGGATTAAAACATTGGCATAAAAATGAATTTACACATTTCTTTTTTGTTCTTGAGAATTTACAACAAAAATATTAGGCACCATTTATTAGATTGTTTATTTACAAGAATAATTTGATATTTACAACACTCTGAAAAACTAATACAATTTAAAACCAATGCAATGCAATATTTATCGTTTATCAATTTATAAAGAAATAAATGTGAAAATGATTTTTTATTTATAAATATTTACTAAATTATATTAAAATATAATGTTTGAATTTATTAGCAATTAGCCAATTTTTGCCAACCATTTCAATAAACCATTTAAATATCTGGAAAGTGTTCTAACAGAAGACAGAAAGTGCGATGCATTGGAATAGCCAAAGATGCACCCCAAAATCTAAGCAGAGTATTAAGAGACAGAAAAACTTTGTTAGAAATCTATTTTGTATATTCCAATCTCTTTCCTGTTGTTGCTATTCTATTTGAAGCTGTGGAAATCTCACTGTTTCATGGATGGTGGTTTTCAATTGTAGATCAAGAATAGATTATTTATTTTCGATGGCGGTTGTTATGGAGTTTTGTGTAGAATGAGGCGCCTTATTTTGAGATTATTATTTTCTCTTCGATCATTATATTTTGCTCCTGCGGATCTTTACGTTTAGCATTAAACGGGAAGTAATTCGG